TTATTTTGTTAACACTGATAATAGGAGTGTAATGATATAAAAGTGTTGCCTTCATCTCTAAAGGGAAAAACGTTGATGGATCGGAGGGTACGAGACGGTAATTTTGACTATAGCCTGAAAATGACTAACTTTATTGGCGGTAAAGTATTTGAACACTGCGAAAACTATATGGTTAGTTTCAGTTTTTCACGTGGAACACGTATACTAAGTTATCAAAGAACAGTAAACTAGACATTTTGTGCATCTTATAAAAATTAGCGCATTTAGAATAAGCAAAAATTTTTTTTCTAAACTTTTTTTGGTCCAGGATGAATTTGAATCTTTAAAACATATGTATTCTGACTTATGTGCTACGGTCGTCGAGCTCTATTCAACATGAATGGATATCGCAAAAAAAACTTCCACTCGATTTTTGATTTTCTGGGAGCTTTATTTTATGTAAACTTGAACGATCTATGATTTGTTCATTAAAATCATAATCTAGGATGAAAACTCAATTGAATAGAATGTCAAAAAATAGGAATGGTAAGGATACGAAGGAAGAAAAGAACTTACTTATACAGTTCCATACTTTTTCCTCATAGTTATATAAGCGAGAATGAAGTATGAAAAAGAATTTTATCTTCCAAATCTTAGGACTCGATAGGCTTGCAAGATTAGCCAGGGGACCTTTTACCATCCTGCTCGTCTCCAACAATTCTTAAAGTCAATTTGACTTATAAAATGTCCAAAATTCGTTTCCTAGAGCTAGTTTTTGATGCAGAGTAAGACAATTATTTTCGAATTTTAAAACTAGAATGAATAGTTGAATTTTGACTTTAATTCAAAATTTTGCCTATTTTCATATATTTTTGAAAAATCGCTATTTAAAATGTTTTTTACCTGAAAAATGTGTTCCAAAATTGGGAGATTAAGTTTTCTCTATGCAAATCGATGTGGTCTATCCACCTATGGGAAAAAATATGAATACGAATCATGTCCACCCACCCTACGTTTTTACGTCATTAAGCTTTCACGTCTTCATCCTTTTATGTCTTTTTGAAATTTTTCAATGGAAATTCGACAGGCTTTCGAGTGAAAACCTTCGACACTGTCAAACTTTTAGTCTGCTGAAAATTTTTTGCTTGAAATTCGACAATGTCGAAAGTTTTCACTCGAAGTTTGACACTGTCGAAAAGTGTTTTTGTCGAACTGCGAAATTACCTTATGAACTTATTACTCTATGCTCTGTGTTTTTCACGTACTGCGCCTTAAAGTCTAACGAGAAATATTGTTAAATTTAATGTTTCAGAAAATGTGATACTTAAAAAATTTAGTTTTCTAGACTCCAATTACGAAATTACGAAAGGCTCCGAGAATTACCTTACTACATCGTAGGTGTGATGGTTTCCTACTATTTGAGAATGACGTACATTACTTTTCGTGCAAAAAAAATTATCCGCTAAACTCAGTATGACTTTTAACTTTTTCCAACACATGTTCAATTATTGAGTTCTTGTTAACACTCAACAGTTTTATTTATATTTTAAAGAACGAACACATCAAATATGGCATATTTATTTACCCGATCTTGAACCGGGTCAACTGTATGGATATCATGTCGATGGTCCGTTTGATCCATCGAATGGCCATCGTTTCAATGTAAATAAACTGCTAATTGATCCATATGCAAGAGCCATCACCGGTACATTGGAATGGCATGATTCACTATTCGGTTATGATATTCAAGATACATCTCCGGAGAAAGATTTAACATTTAGCACAATGGATAGTGCACCATTCATACCAAAATGTGTCGTTGTTGATTCTTTAAATTTTAATTGGGGTGGTGATGCTCCACCAAAGATTCCGTATCATGAATCAATTATTTATGAACTACATGTCAAAGGTTTTACTAAACTTAATCCAGAAGTTCCAGAAGAAATTCGTGGTAGCTATGCTGCTATTGGACATGCATCAACCATTGAATATTTTAAACAACTTGGTATTACGGCTGTTGAATTAATGCCTGTACAACATTTTATAACCGATCGTCATTTAAAAGATAGAGGTTTAACAAATTATTGGGGTTATCATACAATTGGATTTTTTGCACCTGATGTTCGTTATTCATCATCAGGTACTTATGGGCAACAAGTCCTTGAATTTAAACAAATGGTTAAAAAATTACACAAAGCCGGTATTGAAGTTATTATGGATGTGGCTTATAATCATACGGGTGAAGGAAATCAAATGGGCCCAACATTATCGTTCAAAGGCATTGACAATAGAAGTTATTATCGTCTAACAGAAAATGACAGACGATTTTATTTTGATTATACGGGTACGGGTAATACAGTGAATTGTATGTTACCAAATGTACTACGATTGATAATGGACAGTCTTCGTTACTGGATAATCGAGATGCATGTCGATGGTTTCAGGTAAAGCCTTTTTTTATCTACAAAAAAATCAACAATGTAGATTATTCATGCTAATGATGAAATTATCCTAAGTGTGACTTTTCGTGCAATGCGTTATCTATAAAAATGCCTCTGTGCTCACTTGTGTAATCCTATAAGCGTATGCAGAGCAGTTACTAAATGCTTTACATCTCCTCCATGGCAGGGAAGATCTTACGAGGAAAGGACACCAAGTGGCAAATCGCTTTTCAGCCGTGAGCAGGTGGGCAATAGGTAATCAGGTATGCTGAATCCGAATATGGCATCCGTTTGGGCTGATGGGCCTCGTGAGACTGGATCTCTGGAAAACCGGTTCCCCAGAAATCCCCTAACATCATACTAGTATTTTTTAACATGTTGGAATTTTAGCCCGTACGTTTTGCATCAAAATGAGATATCTCCCAGCTTTACACGATATTTCTTTGCAAAGTTACAGAATTTACAAGAAAAGCCCTAAATGTTC